GCGTTGGATGGAAAGATTGCAGCAATATAATTTTGAAATTTGTTATCGAAAAGGTTTATTGCATAGTAATGCTGATGGCTTATCAAGATACCCTTGTGCTGAAAATAATTGTAAATATTGTTCTAAAATTGAGATAGGTAGTGAGGAGAAAAATAAAGTAGCTCGATTAGTCTTGGGAAAAGACAGTAATGTAGATTGGCGAAAGGAACAATTGGAGGATCAAAGTATTTCAATTATATTTCAGGGATTGGAATCTGGCCGACGTCCTTTGTTGAATAAAGTTTCTTCTGGAAGTCTGTCTTCTAAAATTTATTTGTCTTATTGGGATAGTTTGGTTATTAAGGATGGTGTTTTATATAAGAAATTGGAAGCTCCAAATTTAAAATCTAGCTTCTTGCAAGTTATTGTTCCTAGTTCTCGCGTGAAACAAATTTTAATTGAGGCTCATGATTCTCCTTCTGGTGGTCATTTTAANGGTTAGGTCTTGTAAAGTGTGTGTTTCTAAAAAAAGTCCTTCTGATAAAGGGAAATCTCCTTTACAAATTTATAATGTTGGTGCTCCTTTTAAACGTCTTCAGATGGATATTTTGGGTCAATTACCTTTAACTTCTTCTGGGAATAAGTATTTGTTAGTCATTGTAGATTGTTTTACAAAGCGGGTAGAAGCTTTTCCTTTGAAGAATATAAGAGTTTCTACTGTTGCTGAAGTTTTTGTTAATGAAGTAGTTTCTCGACATGGTGTTCCTTTGGAATTGCATACATATCAAGGAAGGAATTTTGAATCAAAATTGTTTTTCGATCTTTCGAGATTGTTGGGTTTTAGGAAAACAAGGACTACTGCTTTTCATCCGCAGTCTGATGGACAAGTTGAACGTCAACATCAGACGATATTACAGTATCTGTCCAAATTTATTTTTAAAAATCAATAGGATTGAGATCGTTGGATTTTAATGTTTTTACTTGCTTATAGGTCTCCTAAGCATGAAACGACTGCATTTTCTCCTACTGAGTTATATTTTGTGCAAGATCTAAGATTGCCTATCGATTTGTTGCGTGGGTCTCCGCCTGTCGTTGATAGTTATAAATTTAGTGAAAATTATGTTATAAATTTACGGGAAAAACTAGATCAGGTTCATCAATATGCTAGACAATTGATGGCAATTAAAAGCGATAGAGTGAAAGCGTTTTATAACCGAAAAGCAAGGAATTTGTCTTTTGAAGCGGGACAAAAAGTTTGGTTTTATAATCCTCGTCGGAGCAAAGGCAAAGCTCCTAAGTTACAAAATTTTTTGGACGGTCCATATGAGATTGTAAAAAAAATTAGCGATGTGGTATTTTGTACTCGGAGGTCTAAGAAACATAAAAATAAAGTAGTTCATTTAGACAGATTAGCTTCTTTTTATAATAGAGCTTGATTTGTTATCTGGTGGAAACATTTCTGAGCCTTGTATCTGGTATTTGATTAAGTCATGAAGATTTTAATCTTAAGGAATTTACTGCGGTGTTTTGTTTGTTAATTTTAGTTATTCTTGATGAAATGTCTGGAGTTTTGGTGGAACATCTGGAGACTTGGTGTACATCTAGAATTGAATTTTGAGAAGGCTGCTTTCCCCACGATTTTTGACCTTGATTTTCCGGTGGGGCATTGGGCGAATGCCAAGGCGGGGACTTGTGGTGTTTTTGCAAGAAAACGTTGGGTCCACGGATAATACTCCCTCCTTGTCCGAAGATCAAGAGAGAAGGGCACAAGAGAGTCCGATTAAGAAAGAAGGGCATAAGAGTGTCTGATCAAGAGAGAAGGGCACAAGAGAGTCCGATCAAGAGAGAAGGGCACAAGAGAGTCTGATCAAAAGAGAGAGGCACAAGAGAGTTCAAACATCTGTTACTATCCCTTATTGATTAAGGACGAGCATAAAGAAAGAAATTGAGATGTGAAGAATTCTTATTGACGCAGTACGGTAACATGGACAGGAGTCCATGGTAGTACAGGAAGCGTCGTGGTCCTTGGAAGCGTCCTGAAATTGGGAACTGATACGTCGCAGTACGGTAACATGGACAGGAGTCCATGATAGTATAGGAAACGTCGTGGTCCCAGGAAGTGTTTTGGAGATGGATCCTATGTCGACGCCGTACGTTAGCACGGGCTAGTGCCCGTGTTCGTAGTACGGGAAGCGTCGAAGATATTGGAAGCTTTATTTCAATTGTCGGGTCGACAATTTTAAACAGGGGGGCAGTGTTACGCCCGTGTCTTGATGCCCGCGCTTTTAGCGCCCTGAACATACAGCTGATTCTCTTGGCAACGAGTTGTAAACAACAGATGATCAGCGTTGACGGATAAACAACGGGTTAGAGAGGTTCTCTCTGGGGCCGTTGAGTCGTCGTGACGTGCGCGACGGTCTTTAACAAAAGAGAGAGCTTGAGCCTGCGAGTTACGTGTGTTTCTTTGTAAATAGTAAATATAGTTGAAGTTGTTTTCTTTTTAACGTTGTCTCGTTTTATTTCCCCGCGCAAGCGTAACAATAATAATAAAATGATTGACGCATATTTTATTTAGGAATTTTTGTTTCAATGTACAATGAAA